TCTCTGGTTTTAACATTTATTTTAGCAGTGCGAACTCGTCCATCTGATCCTGGATGAATTGAGGTGACCTTCCCTAATAACCATGACGCACGAGGGGACTGAGGGTCAACAAGTAACACAACTTGCCCTGGTTTTAAGTTTTCTTGATTGACCTTCCATTTTGCACGACTTTGTTGAGAAGGAAGATAGTAGCGTATGAAAGCTGTCCAAAACTTGTCAGCTAGAATTTGACTGTGGCGCCATTTCCTTTTGCCCAGAAGTTCGCTCTCACAGTAGATGGCTTGTGGTAAGGAGCAATCTGGCCGCCCCATCAAAAGCATGTTTGGTGTCACTGGGTCAAGATCTGCTACATTGGAGGATATGTATCCTAAGGGCTTTGAATTTAGAATACTCTCAACCTCTGTCAGGACAGTAGTTAGGATCACATCTGTCGTAGTTTGATTCCCCATTGCTACATTCAGGGCAGACTTGATGGATTTAATTTCACGTTCCCAGCTACCACCAAAATGTGGAGCTGATGGGGGATTGAACTGAAAATGCACTTGTGACTGGGCCAGCTCCCGTTTTAAAGTAGGGGTCAGAGATTCAAAAGAACGTTTGAGTTCTACCTCAGCAGCCTTGAAATTTGTTCCACAATCAGAGATAAGTTCAAAAGGTTTTCCTCTGCGTGCAACAAATCTCCTAAATGCCATCAAGAATGTGTCAACGTCGAGTTTACTAAGAGTTTCAATGTGCACACAACGTGTGGTGAGGCATTTAAAGATCAAACCCCATCTTTTCTCTGTTTCGGCGGCCTATTGTCACATTGAATGGTCCAAAACAATCCATTCCTGTGGACCAAAATGCTGGTTTTGACAACCTGAGTCGTGCCGGGGGTAGGTCTGCCATTTTGGGTATGATTGGATTTGCTCTCCATCTTTGGCATGTTTGACAACGGTGCTGATACTTGCGTATTGCTTGGCGGCCGCGCAGAACCCAGTACTTGCGCCTCATCTCAGCTAGAACACGCTCAGGACCTGGATGGAGTAACATGTCATCATAATGTTGAATTAATAGTTTAGTTATTATATGATTGGGATCAAGTACAATGGGGTGGAGGCTTTCATAGTCGAGGGATTCTGCTCTCCGAAGTCTCCCACCTACCGTGATGAGTTTGAGGACCGGATCATATTCAGGAGAGAGGGGTAGTAGTTTGCTGTGTTTTGGTATTTCCTTATTTTTCTTTAGGGCAGTTAGTTCCTCTGGGAAACAGTCCATTTGTACTTGTTGAAGGAGAAGTCTTTCAGATTCAATGAACAGTTTAGCACTGTTCGACTTGTCATAATCAGATGATCCAGCAGACTTTGGTTCCTTTATGAGATCAGTCCAGTTGTCAAATTTGTTTACATCAGGTACATTTGATTTTGTTGTCGTTAGTGTAACACAGACCATGGTTTTCCTAATTTCTTCTACAGGCTCACTGCTGGTTGGGACAGGAGGAAATGTGGGCCAGGAACTTTCGTGTTGAAGTAGAAAGGGGGGTCCCTGGCTCCACCTATTGGGCTGTGATAGATCCACGAGAGTCTTTCCTCTGGTTATGTCATCTGCAGGGTTGTTTTTTGAGTCAACATATCTCCAATTTTTAGTGTCTGTTAAAGTCTGTATTTCGGAGATCCTTGTACCTACGAAGACTTTGTAACGACATGACTCTGATCTTATCCATAACAGTACAGTTGTTGAGTCTGTCCAGAGGGTTATTGAGGTAATCGGAATAGTCAGTTCAGTACTTAACAGGTGAGCCAGTTGGGCGCCAGATAGGGCAGCACATAACTCAAGACGGGGTATGGAAAGTTGGCGTTTTGGAGCTATGCGAGATCTGGCCATAACAAAGCTAACATGTGTCGACTCCGTTTTTACCTGTAGGTATGCAACAGCCCCATAGACCCGTTCTGATGCATCGCAAAACACATGCATGTGGAACTCTGAGGTTTCTGCACCGTTTGGTTTCTGTAGAACACAGCGTGGAAAGTTGAGTACATGAAGAGTCTGTAATTCCTTCTCCCATGATTGCCATTTGTCCTTTAGTTTGTCTGATTGAATTACACTGTCCCATTCTCTTTCTTCTTTCCACAGGTCTTGCACTAGAATCTTTGCACGTGTTGTGAAGGGGATTAAATAACCTAGAGGGCCATATTGGCTCGCAAGAATCTTGTAGACATTTCGCAGAGTGAGGTCATAAGATGTGGCTTGTCTGGTTTTGTAGCTCAGGGTATCGGTCAGGCAATTCCACTGTAAACCCAACGTTAGTTCTGTTGGGTCACCAATATCTGAGAGCCACAGTTCAGTAGATTTGGATCTTGCGTCAGGTGGGAGATGTTGTATTACAGTATGACCATTGCTTGCCCATTGTCTTATATTGAACCCTCCATCTGTCAATAGGGGTCGCATTTTATCAATGAGAGATCTTGCTTCTTCAGATGAAGAGAGGCTCTGAAGGCAATTATCAACATAAAAACATTGCTGCACTGACTGGACTATCTCCTCATTCCCTTCGCTGTGATCTAGTACATGCCTCTGTACTGCATAAATAGCACAACAAGGGCTACAGGTTGTACCAAAAGGCAGCACCTGCCATTCATAAACCCTTGGGTTCTGGTCTGGCTGCATTTCCCTCCAAATAAAGCGTAAGAGGGGTTTGTCATCATCTAAGAGCCGTATTTGATGAAACATGCCCTTTATGTCTCCACAAATGGCTACTCTGTTTTGACGAAACCTAAGTAGAACTCCAACTAGACTGGGGACTATGACTGGACCAGGGAGGAGACTTTTGTTCAAGTTTTGTCCATTATACTCAAATGAACAGTCAAATACTATTCTTGGCTTATTGTTATGTTCTACAATGTGATGGGGAAAATACCATGTTTCTGGTGATTGGTTCACTTGCTCCTCAGGTATTATTTTTACATAACCAGCATCAAGAAGTTTGTCTATCTCCTTCTGATAGATCTCAGCTAGAGCAGGGTCCTTTGATAGGCGTCTTTCAGTAGCCTGAAGACGAGGAAATACAGCCTCAGGAGGGGACTGAAGAGGCGGAGTGTTTGGGACTCTCAATAAGGGAGTGGCATAACGTTTTACACCACCTATGTCCACCCTTATAGTTTTTGTCTGCAACACTGTGAGAGCTAATTCATCCTGTTTTGATCTCTGTGCAGTCTTCTCATTTGCATAAGGCAAAGTGTCTATTTGCCAGAGCCTTTCAACGTTTTTGAAAAGTTCACTTTTGAAACAACTTAAAGTGGCCGTTGTAAAGGAAGTATCATACTGGGATGGAATTAAGTTGGCAGGGCCCTGGAGTGCCCATCCCAGTTTGGTATGTATTGCCAACGGGCCACCAGGGGGACCCCACATCACAGGTTCAGTTGCTGTGATTAAGTGGGCATAATCTGACCCTATCAGTACAAGAGGACGTACATGATCAATAGGTTGCAGTGGAATGTTGTTTAAGTAACAAAACTGTTCTTGTAGCTGTTCTACTGGATAGGTGTGCTCTGACAGCCCGAGATTATCTGCTGTAAATGCCCCTTGAATGTCATATCTGTTATCGATCTGATCTGCAGGGGAAATCACAAAAGAGACTGAAGCACCATTAACCTGCAGTACTTCTTGCCTCACAGTACGCAACAAAATAGTCTCGGGTTGGGAGGTGAGACCTAAATGCTGGACAGCCTCATGGAGAATGATAGATCTATCTGCACCATCGTCTAACACAGCGTAGGTGTCATAGGATCTTGAACCATTGAATAGGCGTACTTTGACTACCTTTAACATAATCTTTGGGGAACGATTAGGTTTATCAAGATAAAGATGTTCTTGTGGGGATGTGAGCATTATTGTGGTCTTTCTGATGGTATTAGCATCATGGAGAATAGTCAAATGCAGTTCATTGCAAGTGGTACATGGCTTCTTCAATGTACATGTGTCCTGCTTATGAGTCCGCCCACATCTACAGCATCTGTCCTTCTCATTGACCCATTTCATCATGTCATTCCTTGTGAGTTTTTTGAAATCTTCACAAGCACCAAGAAAGTGGTCCCTGATATTGCAGTATGGACAATAGGGCTTAGGTTTATTTACCTTTGTAGCCTCACCACTGTTGATAGGGATTTCCGTCTTGCTGGGTAACATACGGCCCGCTGTGGTGGACATGTAGACTGAGGAAACTTGTCGAAAGGGTTGATGGTCTTTGATTGGTCGGGGTCTTTCTCCTTTATGCAGTTCGATGGCTCTCTCAGATATACGTTTTGCCCTGGCCTTTGACTGTAGCCAGGTGGAGAGGTCAATAAGAGAGTACGTTTGATTTGCTTGACCGGTTAGGATGCCTTTGTTGATACAGTATTCGACAAATCCATCTCTGTACTGTACAGGGAGTTTACTCAGAAGACGGTCAACGTGAGAACCACATTTGATTTCTGAACCGTTTGGACCTTCTATCGAGAGTAACATTCCCACTAGAGCATTGACAGAGAGTGAGAAATCCTCAAATGCTTCTACATCACCTATACGTATAAATGCAGTGTTTAGCAATGCACCTATTTCACTTTGCACCAATAGCCTTGGCTGGCCAAATCTCTCTTGTAATGCATTGAGAGCTGTTTAGTATGGATTGACACTATGCATACTAGATTTAGCAAGTTTATATGCCCCAGGGTGTTTTAGATGGTCTAAAAGTATTTGGTACTTATATTGTTCTGTGAGGTGAAAATGGCAATTGACTAAGTTATCCAAAGCCATTTTTAATAGTGCAAAATCACTCTCCCTGCCACTCTTAAATAATGGGAGTGTTGGACGGGGAATACCATATGCAGAGGCCATTACCAAATCTGCCATATTTGTATTTTGTGATTGTGGGAAAACATACTGAGACTGACCAGGTGCTGTGAATTGGCCATACATGACATTGGCAGGTCCAGAGTCTGTTGGGACAGGTGGAGCAGTGAGGGAGGAAGAGGTTACCTGGGCAGATGCAGGGTGACTGGATGATGATGTATCAGGAGCTGCCCTTATGGAAACAGGAGGTACATGACGCAGCTGTATTTGAGGTATTATGGATGAAGCCCTGGTTTGGGTCATCACCGCCGGCCTGGCAGCTTCATGCGAATCCAAACCAGTTCCAGAATCAGCGCGTGTTAACCTTGAGGGAGCACCTGGTGTGTATATTTGTGACATGGGTAAGGCATAGAAGGATGATGCAGCTGCAATCCCAGCATCTTCCTCTTGGTCTGCCGTTCTATCCAGGTTCTGTTTGATGAAGCTGGACACAAGTTGAACGGATTCCAGTTCCCTCTCTTTAATGCGAATGCGCCTGTCCAAAGTCAGTTGTCTAACTAGTTTCTCCTTCTCTTTATGTGCTTCCTCCTGAATTTGTTGTGCATTCTTTGCCCTTTGTTCAATTAGTTTACATTTCTCATCAAGTTCATAGTCCTCACTTTTCTGTCTCCGTAGTTCCTCCAGTTCATCTTGAACTCCCTTTTCCTCTAAGAGGCTAACTTGCAACTCACTTAAAGTACTAATATGACTGCTCCCAGAGCGTCTGCTCTGAGTGGAACTAGTAGGACTAGATGCCCTAGTACCATGGCTCTTTCTGGAATGGCTTGACTTGGGTTTTGATTTTACTTTTACATTTGGCTGTAGCACAGAAACCCCATAATAATCAGGAGGTCTGATGATGCGCTTTGGTCTAGCACCCAAGTCTCGACCACTAGGATTCCTCTGTGGATCCAGTAACAGTTCAGTAGTAATAGAGGTTGCATGTGTTGATTGTAGTTGACTAGTAGACCCATGGGGCGGGGGAGGAGGTGGAACACTGCGCTTTGGCTGTTCAGCAGGTGTGGGTGGCTTGGGTGAAGACTGAGACGAATCAAGTTTACCCCCAAGAAAGGGTAAGGTCAAGTCCAATCCATCCCCGGATCCCTCCACAGATTCACTGCCATTAGCTTTAGCTGGAGCTGTAGCAGTGCCAATAGTAGTTGACCCCTCTGGATCCATAGCAGGTCACTGATGGATATGGCTGTGTCTCAGTATCCGGCTCACGAAGGACCATTTGTTGTGTATAAATGTTCGAACTGGAGACACAGACCACCAGGAAACAGTTGTAGTTTGTTATACCCCACATTTATTTGTAGTTGCCATGGTTCTGTAAAGTAGGGTAAATATGTCTCAGTCAATAATCATCATATTAGACTGGTAAACAATTAAACAATACACAAGAATCTTAAACAATAGTACTTACATTTGTAGCAGAAACAAAAGACGCATGGTCAACATAAAATGGGGAAACAATGGACCACAAACAGGAAGGCCTACTTATAGCCTCTCTAGAGTTTGGGTGTGTCCTCCTGCTCCCAGGTGCCTCCATCTTGTGGACACCTGCGGAATTGCTACATTGTCTGTTATTTACTGGAGTTTGTGACAATACTATTTACCACATTCATTGGATTGAACAATTCAAACTTTTGAATGCCTGGTGTACTCTGCAGCTTCCACTTGTTGCCGATGGCTTACTCGCGTTACTTAAAAAAGAGAAAAACTCCCACGGGACTCCATGTAAAAATTAACAAACGTTTATTCCACACTCTTGTACACGAAATTACTTTGCTGAGTTGTCTCTTAATAAAATAAATGCGGTAAGAAAACCGTTTGGCTCCTTATCTCCTGAGCTGCCAAAGTTACGTGCCTCTCTCTAATTACGCTCGCTCTCTTCTCGCTCGCTCCTCTGTAAACAAACCAAAACCTAGCTATCTCTCTTAAAGCGACGGTTACGTAAATGTTAAATGTAAAACAAAAATAACCTAGTTCAACAAGGGTATTTACAAACATGAAATGTAGTTCCCAAATTCACATAAAATACTAATTAAGCAAATAAATACGTTATTACTAATTTATAACAAAATAAACAATAAATTGGTAACACTCTAATATACACTATGCAACATGCAAATATCTAACTAACAAAGCTTAACTTGGCTCCCACACCTGGTCTTGCCCCACCTCAAGTTCATCAGCGACCCCCTTCTGGACCTTGGAGGTTGAGGAGTCAGCCTCTAAAAAGCGAGGTGGACCAGAAAGCTGTAGTTTTACCAAAAGACTTGAGCTGATTACGCAGCAAAACAATGGAGATTATCGTGGACTCCTGGAAAGTCACTGCTCCACTGTATCCCCTCACACTGACAGATTCCTCAACCCCCATTGTGGAGTATCTCTGCTCCCTGGGCAACGCCATCTCCTAGCACCCAGGACCTCAAGTGTGACCAGACCATCAGCTCCCTCCACAAGAAGGTCAAGCTGAGGGTGTAATTCGATCTGGAAACTGGCCGATGATGATGGTGGATTTCTACAGCACCACAATCGTGTCAATCCTCACCTCCTCCATCACTGTGTGGTGCACTGGCACCACGCCAAAGGAGAAACTGCATCACACTGTACTGCTGCTGAGAGGGAGACTGGCTGTAAAGTTACTCTTCAGAGAAGAGATCACAGCGGATTCTTCCCACCCTGGACTAGATTGGTAAACCACACCCACTTCCTTCTGTTCTAAAAAGTGGGTATTTGAGACCAGAGTAACCAAAAACAAGCAGAAAGCAATATTTTCAAACGAGCCGCTCACATGTGTCTGCCCCAATAGACCTGCTGCAGAGTCTCTAGAATAATCTCAAGTTAAGAATACACAGAGGACACTAGTTTGATACTAGGATACTGTTTAACACACATTATTTTTTTTGTCAATAGAATACAATTCTATTCAAGTTCTAATCAGTACAAGAAATGTATCATCCCTGTATCACTGAAAATGCCAAAAGATAAAGTGTCAATTTTCTTATATTTGACTGAATTGAGAATACATATTCACTTTTCTGATTACAGCTGAAATCCATGTGGAGAACAAACACTGTTGTCACAAGTGGAAGGATATTCATTCCTAATACATGACACTGAAGCCTCTCAACTGGCTTCATGGAGAGGTAAGTTACTGAAATATTTAACCTTTTCATAAACATGATAAACTTTTCACTATGGTTTCATGGCAATTGTCCGTGATATCGATTTGAAAAATGATTATATTTCAGATTATAGAGCCACTCCTTCACATATGGGCATCCGAGTTAAAGCTTGACATATCATGTTGAAAAACCAGTCTCTGGCAAAGGTTGGTGATGTAAAAATATACAGATACAGATACAGGATGCGCTACCCCTCCCCCCATTGGTTAGTCTTGCCCACTAGCTGTGAGAGTGAAGCGGTGTTTTGTCAAGTGCGAAATTCCAAAGTTGATATTAACAAGCGTCTGAAGAGTTTCGTTTCAGAAAGTTGACAGATCGATCGACGGACCAAACCAAAGCTGTATGTGTGTATTGTCCAGTTGAACACAGCCAAACATGCTAATGACAACTCCACCACGTAATATCTATAGAGCTACAATACACACTGTAACCGGAGTCAGAGTAAAGTGTAATTCAAGGTACATAAAAAATAGATAAAAAAGTTAAATGAAATTGTGATTAATCAAGAGGTAATGATGACTTTCATGCTATTAATAATTTCGATCAATGGATAGTTGTAATATATACTGTATATAAATATATATATAGATTAATATTTCTACATCATATATTTATGTATATATCATATATGATGAATGTGGGAAAAGGTGTGATTGTATTTACAAGTCTGGAAAAAAAGATTAAAATTAGCCAAATGCTATATTATCGAGTGGTGTTTAAATGTACTGTCCTAACCAAATAAACATTAACAAAGTCTTTGATGACGAACTTCCCTGCAGGAGCTGCAGTAGGTTCTAGATCCGGACTCTTGAGATTTCATGTTACTACAATAACTCTGTCAACATCGAAACATACAAACAATATTTATGTTCTACTTGTTCAGGTCTCCACTGTACAGCTGAATATCTGTTATCTAATATAATATAACAGCAGGTAAAACATTTTTACAATTAAAATGTTTGTCATGTGTGTCAAAAAAAAAAAAAGTTACAATTGTTGAAAATTGCACTATCGGACCAAATTGTGTACTTTATGTAAACAATAGTACACAATAGAGCGGCTATCCTGCGGTGGACTCACAGCCTGCAGGAGGAATCGGAGGGGGCTGGTGCTGTGTGTACCGGGTGGCATCTCTATAAGGTTTTAATCACAAAGACGTGTCTCCCAGACCCCAGCGCGCTCTCTGTTCGATAAGAAAGGGTGACTCCGAAAGGATGTTCCGCTGTTACCGTAAGTTCTGAACAAAACGCGCACCGTCTTTTCCCCGATGCGGGCCGCATGTTCATAGAGCTGAAAGATGCGGGCCACTTGTTCATAGGGAGTCAGTTTGCTGGGAGAAGTATGGTAACTTGAGCACTATCCTTTCCTCCTTCCTACTTTATCTGTTTAGCATTATTAGGATTCTGACTGTAGTTTGTTCATTGCTATTCACCCGTTGTCCCATTGTCTGTTTCATGGTACGATGACGGGATCTCTGAGCCTGGCCTCCTCCATCTACACCTGCGGACTGCCCCGCCCGACCCGCCTGGGAGTGCTTCAGTCCTGCACCGGACCTGTCCACGTTCAGCGGCCACTGGTCCACGTTCTGTAGCTAGCTTAGGTCCTAGATCATTAGCCTGTCCGTCCGGAGGAGCGGATCCCTTTCTCATATGGGTCTCCCTCCCTGTGGGTTTCCCTAGTTCTCCTCCAAGGTTTCTCACTTTTTCCCACTGGGTTTTTTAAGAGTTTTTCCTTGTCGATGCAGGAGGGTCTTGTTGGACAGTTAGTGTCCAACAGAAAGGATTGGTGATGATCAGGACACTTTAGCATTCTACAACATGTATGGACATTTTCTTCTGTGTGTGCTTTATATTCTTCATGTGTTTTAACTGTTGATTCTCTGACCTGTGTTGGTGATTTCAATGGTTTTGTTAAGTCTCTGAGATGACTTCTGTTGTGACCTAGGGCTATACAAGAAAACATTGTATTGTATTGTATTCATAGAGCTGAAAGATGCGGGCCACTTTACCTCGGTAAAAACCCGGAATTTAGGATTTAGGTTAGGTTTATGTTTGGGTCACTCACCGCTGATGTTCAGGATTCTGTGTTCAGTTTTCATGCAGTTCCAGAGAGTTCTAGTTTGGAAGTTCCCAGCCTAACTGTTGCTAGCATAGCCACGGGAAAGCCTTTGGGAACTATTTTATTTTCTGTCATTAAATAAACCTTTCGGCTTTCCTAATAGTGGACTGAAGTTTATGTTGTGTGTTCTGTTGGTACCTTCAGGGTGCCCTGTCGGTACTTATTTTCCGATAATGACCTGCGTACTATACGTTATCCCTTACATAATCGTTATCGTGAGATTCGTATGGCGTATCGTATCTTATCGTATCATATCGTGAGGTGCCTTGAGGTTCCCACCCATACTGCTCAGACTATTAAACCATAGCATGTTTCACACTTCTGTCTTTTGCACACTGAGAGTGAATCTATCTGTGCCAAACGTGACATGTACATGTCTCCATCACAGATCAATAAAGTTTATCTTATCGTATGTACCTGCTGTGATGCAACACTGACATTTCTCCACAGTGGGACCAGTATAAAACCTCTTCATCTTCATTAAAGACCAACAGTGAGTGTGACACAAACGGTTACTGAGCTGGAGGAGTTTACTTTGTGAGTCAATAGGAACCAGAGAGGAGCCAAACTTCCCCATGAGCACTTCTCTATTGAGCTAACGGGTCAGCATTATCCATCTGTCTGAGTATGGTATGGTCTGGTATGGTATGGTCTGGTCTGGTATGGTATGGTCTGGTCTGGTATGGTCTGGTCTGGTATGGTCTAGTATGGTATGGTATGGTATGGTACGGTCCATAGACTGTAAATATTACGCATGGTCAAAACACAAAGCAACAACATGGATCAGCTGTTTGGAGACACGTGATGATGACGTTCTTACGTGACTTCCGCATTACGCCCGTCACGTCAACAACAACTGGCTGTGTCTGTCTCATGTTTACAGTGTGCTGACGGGTAAACACATGGATCTATAATAATATCGGTTACACATCAGGACCAGGCGTGTGTCGGTAACACTCTCACACAGGTTAGCGCTGTCAATGACGGAGAAGTCAGTCAGGAAGATCAGCAGAAGCTAACGTTAGCCACATGCTAAGTTACTCTGGAAACACTTGCTAGTTGACATGCTAACGCTAAACTCTGTCTCTATGATGAATAGTGTCTGTGTTAAATATTATATCAGGTTCATTGTATTTGTGTCTCGCTCGAAATCACAACAGACGGTCTCAGACTGCACACAGTTGTGGATTCACCAACAACAGATCAGAAAATCAAATGCAACAATAACAAACACATAGGAAGCAGAGAGAGAGATCAGAGACAGAACAGAGAGAGAGAGACCAGAGAGAGATCAGAGACATAACCGAGAGAGAGATCAGAGAGAGAGAGGACCAGAGAGAGAACCAGAGAGACCAGAGAGACCAGAGAGAGAAGAGAGAGACCAGAGAGAGAGACAGACCAGAGAGAGAGACCAGAGAGAGAGACCAGAGAGACAGAGAGAGACCAGAGAGAGACGAGAGACCAGAGGACGAGAGAGACCAGAGAGAGACCAGAGAGAGACCAGAGAGAGACCAGAGAGACCAGAGAGACGAGAACCAGAGAGCAGAGAGAGACCAGAGAGAGAGGACCAGAGAGAGACAGAAGAGACCAGAGAGAGACCAGAGAGCAAGACCAGAGACCAGAGAGAGACCAGAGAGAGACGAGCAGAGAGACCGAGAGACAAGAGAGAAAGAGACCAGAGAGAGAGAGAGAGAGACCAGAGAGAGAGCCAGAGAGACCAGAGAGAGACAGAGAGAGAGACCAGAGAGAGACCAGAGAGAGGAACCAGAGAGAGACAGAGACCAGAGAGAGACCAGAGATCAGAGACATAACCGAGAGAGAGAGACGAGAGAGAGGCCAGAGAGAGACCAGAGAGGGACCAGAGAGGGACCAGAGAGAGACCAGAGAGAGAGACCAGAGAGGCCAGAGAGAGACCTGGGAGGGACCAGAGAGGGACCAGAGAGAGACCAGAGAGGCCAGAGAGAGACCAGAGAGAGAGACCAGAGAGAGAGAGACCAGAGAGGGACCAGAGAGGGACCAGAGAGGGACCAGAGAGAGACCAGAGAGAGACCAGAGAGAGACCAGAGAGAGACCAGAGAGAGAGACCTGAGAGAGACCAGAGAGACCAGAGAGAGACCAGAGAGGGACTGGTGGAAACCGTTCTTAAGTGTGACAGTATGCTCTTTCTGCAGATTAGAGAAGCAGATGTTGTGGTAGATGTGGCTCCTGTTCAGAGGATGGACATCTGAGGGAGACCATGAGGACCTGACAGAGACCCACCGGAGGCTAACACCAGTAGCATTACGAGTAGCTGAGGTGCTGTACAGTCATGAACAATGGATGTGCCGGTGACCCTGGTCATCAAAGCCCCGAACCAGAAGTACGAAGACCAGACCATCAACTGCTTCCTCAACTGGACCGTGGAGCGCCTGAAGGGCCACATCGCCAACGTCTATCCCAGCAAACCAGTAATGTACCTTTTATGGTATACAGACTGTATACATATGCTAATGCTAACACAGACTGTACACAGATGCTAATGCTAACACAGACTATATACAGATGCTAATGCTAACACAGACTGTATACAGATGGACAATGCTAACACAGACTGTATACAGATGGACAATGCTAACCATCTAGCTCAGCCATTCCCAAACTCAGTAACACCGAGGCCCCCTTAAAAATCTGTCGGGTCTGTGTGGCCCCCCCAAAATAATAACCAAGAAGACAACATTAAGAATAGGCTCTTCTGGTTATTTTATTTTGGGGAAATAGCCTCTGCTACAAACATTGTAATACAAAAATGATTACAGTGGATTATTCAAGTCAAATAATGAACACAAATATTTTAATATTACAAACAAAACATTATAAATTTAACATTAAATATATATATATTTTTTTTTTATGACCTCCCGCGGCCCCCCTGCAGTACCCTCACGGCCCACCAGGGGGCCGCGGACCCCACTTTGGGAGACACTGATCTAGCTCAATGAGTCTTATTGTCTGATATTTAAAAGTGAAATCCTCTAGTTTACATACTCTACCAGTCCTACTCTCCTCAGTGAGTCCTCTCCTAATATACAGATACGATTCAACGCTTTAGTTGACATCACTGTCATTGTTTTATGTATAAAGTATTTTTTATGAAGTGTTGATGTGATTGTTCCTCAGTCGTGTGAAGACCAGCGTCTGGTGTATTCAGGGCAGCTTCTCCAGGACCATGTGCGGCTCCGAGACGTGCTGCGAAAGGTACAAGTTTACACCATGTACTATTGAGGGACCTGTTTGTCATTCACTTGTGTTGCCTCTGCCTCTGCCTCTGTCTCTGTCTCTGTCTCTCTCTGTCTCTACCTCTGTCTCTGTCTTTGTCTCTCTCTGCCTCTGTCTCTGTCTCTGCCTCTGCCTCTGCCTCTGCCTCTGTCTTTGTCTCTCTCTGCCTCTGTCTCTGTCTCTGTCTCTGTCTCTGCCTCTGTCTCTGTCTTTGTCTCTCTCTGCCTCTGTCTCTGTCTCTGCCTCTGCCTCTGCCTCTGCCTCTGTCTCTCTCTGTCTCTACCTCTGTCTCTGTCTTTGTCTCTCTCTGCCTCTGTCTCTGTCTCTGCCTCTGCCTCTGCCTCTGTCTCTGTCTTTGTCTCTCTCTGCCTCTGTCTCTGTCTCTGTCTCTGTCTCTGCCTCTGCCTCTGCCTCTGTCTCTCTCTGTCTCTACCTCTCTCTCTGTCTTTGTCTCTCTCTGCCTCTGTCTCTGTCTCTGCCTCTGCCTCTGTCTCTGTCTTTGTCTCTCTCTGCCTCTGTCTCTGTCTCTGTCTCTCTCTGTCTCTGCCTCTGCCTCTGCCTCTGTCTCTCTCTGTCTCTACCTCTCTCTCTGTCTTTGTCTCTCTCTGCCTCTGCCTCTGCCTCTGCCTCTGTCTCTGTCTTTGTCTCTCTCTGCCTCTGTCTCTGTCTCTGTCTCTGCCTCTGTCTCTGTCTTTGTCTCTCTCTCTCTGCCTCTGTCTCTGTCTCTGCCTCTGCCTCTGTCTCTCTCTGCCTCTGTCTCTGTCTTTGTCTCTCTCTGCCTCTGTCTCTGTCTCTGCCTCTCTCCTCTGTCTCTGTCTTTGTCTCTCTCTGCCTCTGCCTCTGTCTCTGTCTCTGCCTCTGCCTCTGCCTCTGTCTCTCTCTGTCTCTACCTCTCTCTCTGTCTTTGTCTCTCTCTGCCTCTGTCTCTGTCTCTGCCTCTGCCTCTGTCTCTGTCTTTGTCTCTTTCTGCCTCTGTCTCTGTCTCTGCCTCTGTCTCTGTCTCTGTCTCTGTCTCTGCCTCTGCCTCTGCCTCTCTCTCTGTCTTTGTCTCTCTCTGCCTCTGTCTCTGTCTCTGCCTCTGCCTCTGCCTCTGTCTCTGTCTTTGTCTGTCTCTGTCTCTGCCTCTGTGTCTCTGTCTCTGTCTCTCTCTGTCTCTGTCTTTGTCTCTTTCTGCCTCTGTCTCTGTCTCTGTCTCTGCCTCTGCCTCTGTCTCTGTCTCTGTCTCTCTCTGCCTCTGTCTCTGTCTCTGTCTCTGCCTGCCTCTGTGTCTCTGTCTCTGTCTCTCTCTCTGTCTCTGTCTCTGTCCTCAGCCTGATGAGGAGTACCATATGATGCACCTGGTGTGTGCCTCCCATAGTCCTCCCAGGTCGCCTCAACCTCACAGTTCTGCTCCCAGTGTGAGTATCCAAGTATACTCCAGGACTGAAGCCTCTGATGAGGTGAACTCTGACCCCAGTCTCATGTTGTGTCAGGACCCTGCTGCTGCTCCTGCTGCTGCTCCTGCTGCTGCTCCTGCTGCTGCTCCTACTGCTGGTCCTGCTGCTGGTCCTGCTGCTGCTGCTGCTGCTCCTGCTGCTCCTGCTGGTCTGAGGTATCGAGGACCAGCACAGCACAGCTCCTCTGCTCAGGGGTAAGACCTTCTGCTGGATCTGGGGCTTTGAACCCACCACTGTACATGTTAGCATGTTAGCATACCAGTTATTGTTAGAATGTCTCCGTTAAAGCAGTGTGTCCCACAGGCCTGGAGGTCCTCAGGGGCCTCTCCCAGGGGCCCTGCCTGGAGGTCCTCAGGGGCCTCTCCCAGGGGCCCAGCCTGGAGGTCCTCAGGGGCCTCTCCCAGGGGCCCTGTCTGGGAACATGCCCCCACACCCGGCCTACATGCCCATGCAGGCTCTGTGGTGGCAGCAGATGTACGCAAGACACTACTACCTTCAATAGTGAGTTTGACGATCTACTCTGCTCTACTCTACTCTACTCTACTCTGCTCTGCTCTGCTCTGCTCTGCTCTGCTCTGCTCTGCTCTGCTCTGCTCTGCTCTGCTCTGTGTGAAAACGTAGAGCAGGAGAGGATTCTGTCCCTGATACGTCTGCTCTGTGTTTACTCCCAGTCGAGCCGCTGCAGCTGTCTCTCAGAACCTGCCTGCCCCCTCCTCCTCCTCACCCCCTCCTCAGCCCGAGCCGGTCGTACAGCCCCCTCTGGACCCTCAGGGGGGGCCGCCGCTGAACCAGGATCAGATGGATCTGGACCAGCAGGACCGGGACCAGGACCAGCAGGACCGGGACTGGCTGGACTGGCTCTACACCGCGTCCCGGGTCGGAGTCCTCCTCAGCATTGTTTACTTCTACTCCTCCTTCAGCCGCTTCCTCATGGTCCTAGGAGCCATGCTGCTGGTTTATCTGTGAGTGACCAGAGTGAGACCAGAGTGAGACCAGAGTGAGACCAGAGTGAGACCAGAGAGGGACCAGAGAGAGACCAGAGAGAGACCAGAGAGAGACCAGAGAGAGACCAGAGAGAGATCAGAGTGAGACCAGAGTGAGACCAGAGAGGGACCAGCGTGAGACCAGAGTGAGACCTTTAGGAGCCGTTGGTCCATAGTGAGCGTGATGACCACTGTCCTTTGTGTTTATTATTCATTCTTTTTCTCTGGTCTGTTGTCGGTGTCTGTGTTGCAGGCACCAGGTGGGCTGGCACCAGGTGGGCTGGTTCCCTTTCAGACCTGAGCAGCCGAGAGCAGAGCAGAGAGAAGCACAACGACAACACGACATGCAACAGATGGTATTTACTCTCGACGTCTGGGTCTGTTTTTGTACACGGCATGTGCCTGTGTAGAGAGCGGCCATTTTGTGACGTTTACCTGATGCGGCGAGGAGGAGGGGGCGGGGCTTATTCAGTCCCTCACTTTCTGTTGTTCTGCAGGAGCGACTGATGGACCAGGGTTTGGAGCAGGAGGAGCCAGACCCACCTCCTCCTGAAGCCGGGTTCCTCCTCACCTCCTGGGCCTTCCTCAGCTCCTTCTTCACCTCTCTCATCCCTGACAACCGCCCTCAAGCCAACAACTGAGAGCCTCCTCCAGGGCCTCCTCCAGACCAGAGAGAGAGAGAGACCAGAGCCAGAGACTAGACCCTCATCAGACCCTCAGAGGTCCCAGAGTGGACTGGTTTAGACACAGCTCTCTTCTGAACGCTGGGGTGTGATTGGTCGATGAGGTGCTCTGTGGAGGCTGCGTTCAGACAAACACAGAAGAAGAAGGTTCTGGAAGAAATTTTTAATAAAAATGATTCTGCTGTTTTCACTAAATATTATTACATTCACCAGAGAGAGACCAGAGAGAGACCAGAGAGAGACCAGAGAGAGACCAGAGAGAGACCAGAGAGAGACCAGAGAGAGACCAGGGAGAGACCAGGGAGAGACCAGGGAGAGACCAGGGAGAGACCAGAGAGAGAGAGACCAGAGAGAGACCAGAGAGAGAGACCAGGGAGTGACCAGAGAGAGACCAGAGAGAGAGACCAGAGAGAGAGACCAGAGAGAGGCCAGAGAGAGAGACCAGGGAGTGACCAGAGAGAGACCAGAGAGAGAGACCAGAGAGAGAGACCAGAGAGAGGCCAGAGAGAGACCAGAGAGAGAGACCAGAGAGAGGCCAGAGAGAGGCCAGAAAGAGATCAGAGAGAGACCAGAGAGAGACCAGAGAGAGACCAGAGAGAGACCAGAGAGAGACCAGAGAGAGACCAGAGAGAGACCAGGGAGAGACCAGAGAGAGGCCAGAGAGAGACCAGAGAGAGACCAGAGAGAGACCAGAGAGAGACCAGAGAGTGACCAGAGAGAGACCAGAGAGAGACCAGAGAGAGACCAGAGAGAGACCAGAGAGAGACCAGAGAGAGACCAGAGAGAGACCAGAGAGAGACCCGAGAGAGACCAGGGAGTGACCAGAGAGAGGCCAGAAAGAGACCAGAGAGAGACCAGAGAGAGAGACCAGCCCTACCACTACTTTCCTGGTCCTGTGTAACCAGTACCAGGTCCTTCTTTAGTCCCTGTTGTTCCTGGTGCTGACAGTGCTGCTGTAAGCCATGGTTAGAGTAGAGTCGATGGAAACAGGACGTCTGTACACATGTTTATTCTGCATCTTTAATGTAATGTAAACACATAAATACTGTTTTTTAATAAAAAAACAAATCTTGGTTGACTCTGGTGTAGTTCTGTGACTGTCCAGCAGGGAGCAGCACAACCACAGCCACCACTGGGTCCCGGTCATGGATGTAGGTCCTGGTCTGAAACAGCTGCTTCTGTCACATTATTATAGATCATTTAGCCCTTTTCACACGAGATTAGTATGACCTTTGACCCCTGGTAACGTGTGATAATTGCGGAGATCTTACAGTGCATTCACACGGGAACAGCAATGTCTGTAAATCACCACAGAGAGTCTGAGCACAGAGAGTCTGAGCACAGAGAGTCTGAGCACAGAGAGTCTGACCACAGAAAGTCTGAGCACAGAGAGTCTGACCACAAAATTCACATGACACAGGGTTGACCAAGACAAGCAAAGCACAAACAACAGATCTGAATAAACCCTACTCCCTCCCCACATGTGATCAAGACGAGACACATCAACATCACCAAAACAAACAAAGTCAGTAGCATCGGGAGAGTGAGACCAAAGAGCCATATTGGTGCTGCTTTTTAGGTGTTTTTTGAGTTCCGTTTTGAAGCCCTTGATGGTCCTTGATGGTCGTGCAAGTCTTTATAGTGTCCGGTGGTTTGTTTCACAGAGAAGTGGCCTTCACTGAGTGACGGAAAGGTACGACGCAGTCATGTGGAGAAGCTACTCTAGTGGATCTGAAGGACCTCTCAGAGCGCTGTTTCACAAAGGTTTGAAAACAGCCAGGGGCCAAGGCATTCAGAATCTGGAAAACCAAACATAGACATGAAAAAGCTCTAAAATGTTCAAATCTTAAGAAATTGTGTTTTGTCAAGATGTTACAGTAATGGTGGTTCAATGGCTTTTTATCAAAAGTCTTTAAGGCTTCACGTCGAGAGGAACCAGTTGAGGTGGCATATCTGTTCAGGATGCCTCCTGGACGCCTCCCTGGGGAGGTGTTCCGGGCACGTCCCACCGGGAGGAGGCCCCGGGAAGACCCAGGACACGCTGGAGGGACTATGTCTCTCAGCTGGGCTGGGAACGCCTTGGGGTCCCCCCGGACGAGCTGGAGGAAGTGTGTGTGGATAGGGAAGTCTGGGCGTCTCTGCTTAGACTGCTGCCTCCGCGACCCGGCAACGGATAAAGCGGAAGAAAATGGCATGGCATGAAATCCAAAAAATAACGAAAGGTGAACGGTGTGTGTGTGTTTGTGACAGGTGTGTGTCTCTGTGTGTGTGTCAGGTGTCCTCTTCTCTCTCAGACAGAACCAGCTGTGATCAGTGTGTGTGTGTGTGTGTGTGTGTGTGTGTGTGTGTGTCTGTGTCTGTGTGTGTGACAGGTGTGTGTGTGTGTGACATCAATGTCTGTGTGTGTGTGTGTCAGTGTGTGTGTGTATCAGTGTGTGTGTGTGTGTGTGTGTGTGTGTGTCAGTGTGTGTGTGTGTATCAGTGTGTGTGTGTTTGTGTCAGTGTGTGTGTGTATCAGTGTGTGTGTCAGGTGTCCTTTCTCTCTCAGACAGAAGCAGCTGTGAAGGCAGAGAAACACAGACTTTTATAATAATGATGAAATGTCCTACAAGCTCCAAACACCCTCTTAAGACGTCCCGGGCCGCGATAAGGGACGCGGCTAAGTGGGCCGAGGTGGGGGCCCCTAACCCGATCAGGGGCCCCGTCAAGCCGCTGTCATGCATAATTAATTGGACCCCTCGTGACGGGCTACAACAAATCTATGGTCATTCGATTAGAGGCTTTCGGAGGCTCCAGAGTGCAGCCCGTCCAGGACTCACTCTGACAGCTCACTGAGGTCCCTCTGGTCTCACTACGGTCTCTCTCTATGGTCTCACTACGGTCTCTCTCTATGGTCTCACTCTGGTCTCACTACGGTCTCTCTCTATGGTCTCACTACGGTCTCACTACGGTCTCTCTCTATGGTCTCACTACGGTCTCTCTCTATGGTCTCACTATGGTCTCTCTCTATGGTCTCACTACGGTCTCTCTCTATGGTCTCACTATGGTCTCACTACGGTCTCTCTCTATGGTCTCTCTATGGTCTCACTACGGTCTCTCTCTGGTCTCTCTCTGGTCTCTCTCTAGTCTCTCTCTGGTCTCTCTCTGGTCTCTCTCTGGTCCCTCTCTGGTCTCTCTCTGGTCTCCCTCTCTGGTCTCCCTCTCTGGTCTCTCTCTGGTCTCTCTCTGGTCCCTCTCTGGTCTCTCTCTGGTCTGTCTCTGGTCCCTCTCTGGTCTCTCTCTGGTCTCCCTCTCTGGTCCCTCTCTGGTCTCTCTGGTCCCTCTCTGGTCCCTCTCTGGTCTCTCTCTGGTCTCTCTCTGGTCCCTCTCTGGTCTCCCTCTCTGGTCTCTCTCTGGTCTCTCTCTGGTCTCTCTCTGGTCTCTCTCTGGTCTCTCTCTAGTCTCTCTCTGGTCTCTTTCTGGTCCCGCTCTGGTCCCTCTCTGGTCTCTCTCTCTGGTCTCTCTCTGGTCCCTCTCTGGTCTCCTTCTGGTCCCTCTCTGGTCTCCTTCTGGTCCTCTACCTGTCAGACCTTTCCATGTCCTGCAGACTTTCGGTTCTCGTTACATTTTGTCTCAGTAGATTCCGATCACCAGCGGCGCCGTTGGACCAGGTCTGTACTTGGTCCTTCCTGTCGCTGTCACAGCCCGGGCTTTAACCTCCTTCATCTCTAACTTTATCTCTAAATGTGAGTTGGCACGTCTCGTCACGACGCCGCGGTCTCGCTCTGGTCTCGCTGATAAAACATGCATTAAATGGTCGGCTCTGGGCCCGGACGCTGCTCTTAGCCTATTAGCATATTGTTAGCCATTAGCACGATTGCTACGGATGTGTCTCATGCTAATGCTAATGTCACTGTCTGTTTCTTCAGCATGGACCAGGAGAGAGAGACCAGGAGAGAGAGAGAGACCAGGAGAGAGAGAGAGACCAGGAGAGAGAGAGACCAGGAGAGAGAGACCAGGAGAGAGAGAGAGACCAGGAGAGAGAGAGACACCAGGAGAGAGAGAGACCAGGAGAGAGAGACCAGGAGAGAGAGAGACCAGGAGAGAGAGACCAGGAGAGAGAGAGACCAGAGAGAGAGAGACCAGGAGAGAGAGAGACCAGGAGAGAGAGACCAGGAGAGAGAAACCAGAGAGAGAGAGAGACCAGGAGAGAGAGACACCAAGAGAGAGAGAGAGACCAGGAGAGAGAGACCAGAGAGAGAGACACCAGGAGAGCGAGACCAGGAGAGAGAGAGACCAAGAGAGAGAGAGAGACCAGGAGAGAGAGAGAGACCAGGAGAGAGAGAGACCAGAGAGAGAGAGAGAGAGACCAGAGAGAGAAAGATCAGAGAGAGAGAGACCAGGAGAGAGAGACCAGAAGAGAGAGAGAGACCAGAAAGAGAGAGACCAGGAGAGAGAGAGACCAGGAGAGAGAGACCAGAGAGAGAGAGAGAGACCAGGAGAGCGAGACCAGGAGAGAGAGACCAGGAGAGAGAGAGACCAGAGAGAGAGAGAGAGAGACCAGGAGATAGAGACCAGGAGATAGAGACCAGGAGATAGAGACCAGGAGAGAGAGACCAGGAGAGAGAGATCAGGAGAGAGAGAGATCAGGAGAGAGAGAGACCAGAGGGAGAGAGACCAGAGAGAGAGAGACCAGGAGAGAGAGACCAGGAGAGAGAGAGACCAGAGAGAGCGACCAGGAGAGGGAGACCAGGAGAGAGAGACTAGGAGAGAGAGGGACCAGAGAGAGAGAGACCAGAGAGAGAGAGACCAGGAGAGAGAGACCAGGAGAGAGAGACCAGAGAGAGAGAGACCAGAGAGAGAGAGACCAGAGAGAGAGACCAGGAGAGAGAGAGACCAGAGAGCGAGAGACCAGAAGAGCAAGAGACCAGGAGAGAGAGAGACAAGAGAGAGAGAGAGAGACCAGGAGAGAGAGACCAGGAGAGAGAGAGACCAGGAGAGAAAGACCAGGAGAGAGAGAAACCAGAGAGAGAGACCAGGAGAGAGAGAGACCAGGAGAGAGAGAGACCAGGAGAGAGAGACCAGGAGAGAGAGAGACCAGAGAGAGAGAGACCAGGAGAGAGAGACCAGCGAGAGAGAGACCAGGAGAGAGAGACCAGGAGAGAGAGAGACCAGAGAGAGAGAGACCAGGAGAGAGAGAGACCAGAGAGAGAGAGACCAGGAGAGAGAGAGACCAGGAGAGAGAGAGACCAGGAGAGAGAGACCAGGAGAGAGAGAGACCAGAGAGAGAGAGACCAGGAGAGAGAGACCAGCGAGAGAGAGACCAGGAGAGAGAGACCAGGAGAGAGAGAGACCAGAGAGAGAGAGACCAGGAGAGAGAGAGACCAAGAGAGAGAGACCAGGAGAGAGAAACCAGGAGAGAGAGACCAGAGAGAGAGAGACCAGGAGAGAGAGACCAGAGAGAGAGAGCCCAAGAGAGAGAGACCAGAGAGAGAGAGAGACCAGGAGAGAGAGAGAGAGAGTGTGTGTGTGTGTTTGTGTGTGGCTCTGCTCTGAGTTGTGTGTGTGTGGTTCTGCTGAGTTGTGTGTGTGTGTGTGTGTGTGGTTCTGCTCTGAGTTGTGTGTGTGTGTGTGTGTGTTCTGCTCTGAGTTGTGTGTGTGTGTGGCTCTGCTCTGAGTTGTGTGTGTGTGTGTGTGTTCTGCTCTGAGTTGTGTGTGTGTGTGGCTCTGCTCTGAGTTGTGTGCGTGTGTGTGTGTGTTCTGCTCTGAGTTGTGTGTGTTGTGCTACACAGATAAATCCTCGGCCCGTAGATCACATACCGCTGGTCTCTCATCCCTTCCGCCTGTAATCGTATCACGCTGACGTTGGAGGTTATTTATTTGTTTATATTTTTCTGGAGGTGGTTGTTGTCGTGGCAACAGTTCAATGGCGGAATCGATTAATCAGTTTGTCTGCGGCGGCGGCGAGACGGTGACAAAGACCGAGGCTGAAGGAGGAAGAGAGAATGGCCTGGTACTGAATACTCTCTCTCCCTCTCCTCTCTCTTCTCTCCTCTCTTTCTTTCCTCTCCTCTCTCCCCTCTCTCTAGTCACACTGTGGTGATGTCACACTGTGATGATGTCACACGGTGGTGATGTGACACTGTGGTGATGTCACACGGTGGTGATGTCACACTGTGGTGATGTCACACTGTGGTGATGTCACACTGTGGTGATGTCACACTGTGATGATGTCACACGGTGGTGATGTCACACTGTGGTGATGTCACACTGTAAAACCTTGTAATAATAAAAACATAAACTTTCAAACTTGTAAAGTGAGTTTTATTGACTCAGATCAGTAAAAACAAAGTGATAGATATTTGTCAGATCCTGTGACACATGGTCCCGGAGCAAAATAAATATATTGCACATAATAAAAACCATGTGTGGCTTCAGCAAACGGAGACAACACTTTTTACATTTGTACAAGAGAAAAATATGGACTTTCTCTGATTATGAAGAGACCAGATCACAGCGGAACGTTCAGGACCGAAAGGACCACATGGTCTCTCTCTGGTCTCTCTCTAGTCTCTCTCTGGTTCCTCTCTGGTCTCTCTCTGGTATCTCTGGTCTCTCTCTGGTCTCTCGCTGGTCTCTCTCTGGTTCCTCTCTGGTCTCTCTCTGGTATCTCTGGTCTCTCTCTGGTCTCTCTCTGGCTCCTCTCTGGTCTCTCTCTGGTATCTCTGGTCTCTCTCTGGTCTCTCGCTGGTCTCTCTCTGGTCTCTCGCTGGTCTCTCTCTGGTCTCTCTCTGGTCTCTCTCTGGTATCTCTGGTCTCTCTCTGGTCTCTCTCTGGTCTCTCTGGTCTCTCGCTGGTCTCTCTCTGGTCTCTCTCTCTGGTCTCCCTCTGGTCTCTCTCTGGTCTCTCTCTGGTCTCTCTCTGGTCTCTCTCTGGTCTCTCTCTGGTCTCTCTCTGGTCTCTCTCTGGTCTCTCTCTGGTCTCTCTCTGGTCTCTCTCTGGTCTCTCTCTGGTCTCTCTCTGGTCTCTCTCTGGTCTCTCTCTGGTCTCTCTCTGGTCTCTCTCTGGTCTCTCTCTGGTCTCTTTCAGACATATAGTATGGCCTCTTTGTGAATCTCTTAAATAAAAATCTGAGTAAAACCTTTGTTTCAAACCCAGTGGAAACTTCATCTTTTCAGAGCGATGCTGTAAAAACAGTGTTAAATGCTGCAGAAGCTGTGATGAAACATCCCATAATAATAAGTACAAGGTTAATCCAGTGTCTACTGCAGGCGGCATGCGTCTCATTTACAACTTCTCTGTACACATTTAGTTTTCTTCTGTCAGTCTTTGGTCAGCTGCCGCGATTCGCCTCCAGACGTCGCTGTACACAATAATAGACAATAATAGACAATAATAGACGTCTCAAAGTCTCTTTTTAAACTATTCTTCACTTTCCCGGCTTTCCTTCATGCGTCTGTACAATCCCAAGATGGCCGCCAATAATACAAACACGTTGGTGCTGCTTCCTGTGTCTTTTTTTCACAGCAAAAAACACTTCTTATCAAAGAAAAACAGCACAGCGTAAACATAGATGACTTCAACTCAGAATGTTATTTTTGATTTGAGACGTTTCCAACAAGTTAAAACATCTCTCCAATACCAAGATGGCCGTCAGAATTTCAAACACGTTGGTTCTGGTTCCAAAGTCTTATCGTAAGAAAAACAGAATGGTGTGAGTTTAGATGACTTGAACACAGAATGTTACCAAATGTATATGTCGTTTTGACTTTGTGAAATTATTCATTATTCCTTCATGCGTCTCTACAACCCAAGATGGCCGCCGATGCTACAAACACGCTGGTAATGCTTCCGTTGTCTTTGTCTCCCACCATAAAACAGCATGAGTTTAGATGACCTCAACTCAGACTGTTTTGTATTATTTGAGTAGTTTCAACTGAGATAAATTGTCTTTCCAATACCAAGATGGCCGCCAACAGTACAACCGCCATGATGCTGCTTCCAAAGTCCTCGTATCATGGCAAAAACAGCATGGCGTCAGTTTAGATAACATGGAACTTGAACCTGATGATCGTTTTGAGTAATTCTGACCCAGTTGAACGAGTTGAGGCGACTCCAAAAACGCACTTCTGAGCAGCAGGGGGCGCTGGTGCTGCTGGGGCTGTATGTGCAAAGCTGAGGTGTTTCATACGAAGGGCGTCATGACGGTGGAGGAGTGGCGAAGGCCCTGGATGGCGGCGTAGGGCCCCTGTTGGAAGTAGTGGTGGTAGCGCGGCATGTGGAAGGAGGGGAAGGTGGGTCCGCCGGCCGTGAGGGGCATCCCCAGTCGGGTGTAGGGGGGGAGGGAGCCCTGGATGGGGTGAGGCAGAGAGGGACCTGCCGACAGAGACTGCGGGTGCTGGAACCCCGAGAAACCCGAGGTGGAGGTGACCCAGGAGCTCAGGGCCAGGTTCTCAGAGGCAGAGAAGGCGGAGCCTGCAGAACACAACAGGAAGTGAGGACTGAGGTCATGAAACCACTGTATACAGATGGACAACGCTAACGACTGTATACAGATGCTAATGCTAACACAGACTGTATACAGATGCTAATGCTAACACAGACTGTATACAGGTGTAGTATGTGGTGGTTGAAGTGTGTGTGCCTCAGGTCGGGGTGCTTCCGGTCTCACCTCTGGCATGAGGGTGGGTCTCCTCCCCCACCTCCTCGTCTCCGCTGTAGGTCCTGATGGGGGAGCGAGCGTACGAGTGTTTGTGGATCAGGTTCTCCACACTCTCCCTGCAGCAGAGTCCAAGGCACAGGCGCAACGTAAATCTCTACACATCTGTACCATCAACCAGAGAGAGACCAGAGAGAGACCAGAGGGAGACCAGAGGGAGACCAGAGGGAGACCAGAGGGAGACCAGAGAGAGACCAGAGAGAGACCAGAGGGAGACCAGAGGGAGACCAGAGGGAGACCAGAGAGAGACCAGAGAGAGACCAGAGGGAGACCAGAGGGAGACCAGAGGGAGACCAGAGGGAGACCAGAGAGAGACCAGAGGGAGACCAGAGGGAGACCAGAGGGAGACCACAGAGAGGGACCAGAGGGAGACCAGAGAGAGAGACCAGAGAGAGAGACCAGAGAGAGACACCAGAGAGAGAGACCAGAGAGAGACCAGAGGGAGACCAGAGAGAGACCAGAGGGAGACCAGAGGGAGACCAGAGGGAGACCAGAGGGAGACCACAGAGAGGGACCAGAGGGAGACCAGAGGGAGACCAGAGAGAGAGACCAGAGAGAGACCAGAGAGAGAGACCAGAGAGAGACCAGAGGGAGACCAGAGAGAGACCAGAGAGCGAGACCAGAGAGAGAGACCAGAGAGAGACCAGAGGGAGACCAGAGAGGGACCAGAAAGAGAGACCAGAGAGAGAGACCAGAGAGAGACCAGAGGGAGACCAGAGGGAGACCAGAGAGAGACCAGAGGGAGACCAGAGAGTGACCAGAGGGAGAGAGACCAGAGAGAGACCAGAGAGAGACCAGAGAGAGACCAGAGAGAGACCAGAGAGAGACCAGAGAGAGACCAGAGAGAGAGACCAGAGAGAGACCAGAGAGATAGACCAGAGAGAGACCAGAGAGAGAGACCAGAGAGAGACCAGAGGGAGAGAGGCCAGAGAGAGAGCAGAGAGAGAGACCACAGTGAGACCAGAGAGAGACCAGAGAGAGACCAGAGAGAGACCAGAGAGAGAGACCAGAGAGAGACAAGAGAGAGACCACAGAGAGAAAGACAAGAGAGAGACCACAGAGAGAGAGACCAGAGGGAGACCAGAGAGAGACCAGAGAGAGACCAGAGAGAGAGCAGAGAGAGACCAGAGCCAAGGCATAGCTTCACATAATATCTCAGCTAAACTAATTATGCTAAATATATTTTCACATTTATCTGGATAAATGTGAAAATAAATAAATAAATAAAAAGTATGTTTTTTTGTATGGTCCTCACAGTCGATGGTTTGACCCTTCCCTCCCCCCTCCTCCCTCCCCCCTCCTCCCTCCCCCCTCCTCCCCCTCCAGCTCCAGGCCTCAATCAGGTTAGGAAAGTGCAATATATGTCAGCAAAACGGTACAAATGTGAATGTTTGTATCAGCGGCCTTCAGGAAAGGAGAGAGGGGGGAGACGGGGGAGGGGGATGGGGAGAGAGGGGGAGAGACGGGGGGCGAGGGGAGAGACGGGGAGCGAGGGGGAGAGACGGGGAGCGAGGGGGAGAGACGGGGAGCGAGGGGAGAGACGGGGAGCGAGGGAGGGGCTGCGCTGCTTTCAATCAGTCAAAGATCACAATTGGGTTAGTGTGTGTTTTAGTGCAGTGAGAGACTCTGGACTAATGCGATTTCTGCAGCTCCCTGAAGAGCAATGGATCAGGACTAATTCACAGACCAGAACGACACCAGAGAGACCAGAAAGAGACCAGAGAGACCAGAAAGAGACCAGAAATACACCAGAGGGACCAGAAAGACACCAGAGAGACCAGAGAGAGACCAGAGAGAGACCAGAAAGAGACCAGAAATACACCAGAGGGACCAGAAATACACCAGAGAGACCAGAGAGAGACCAGAGAGAGACCAGAGAGATCAGAAAGACACCAGAAAGACCAGAGAGAGACCAGAGAGACCAGAGAAAGACCAGAGAAAGACCAGAGAGAGACCAGAAAGAGACCAGAGAGAGACCAGAGAGAGAAGAGAGGCCAGAGGGAGACCAGAGAGAGACCAGAGGGACCAGAAAGAGACCAGAGAGAGACCAGAGAGGGACCAGAGAGATCAGAAAGACGCCAGAGAGAGACCAGAGAGAGACCAGAGGGATTATCCCTATTTGGCTTCAGTAGGGTTAGTGGGTTAGCATTGCGCTAGTGGGTTAGCATTGATTTAGCATGCTAGTATTTAACAAGCGGGTTAGCCTTGAGCTGGGGGGTTAGCATTGAGCTGGCGGGTTAGCCTTGAGCTGGCGGGTTAGCCTTGAGCTGGCGGGTTAGCCTTGTCCTGTGTAGTGCAGGAGCCCCCAGTACCTCTCCATGTCTGTGAGCCGAGAGGAGTCTCTGAAGCCTTTGGCAAACGGGTTACTGTCGATCTTCAGCTTGGTGATCTGTGGACACAAATTATTTATATAGCACACATTAGACAGGACAAGAGGGTCCAGAGGGAGACCAGAGAGAGACCAGAGAGAGACCAGAGAGAGAGAGACACCAGAGAGAGTCCAGAGAGAGATCAGAGAGAGACCAGAGAGAGACCAGGGGAAAGACTAGAGAGAGACCAGAGAGACACCAGGGGAACCCCAGAGAGAGACCAGAGAGACCAGAGAGAGACACCAGGGGAAAGACTAGAAAGAGACCAGAGACCAGAGAGAGACCAGAGGGAGACCAGAGAGACACCAGGGGAAAGACTAGAGAGAGACCAGAGACCAGAGAGAGACCAGAGAGAGACCAGAGGGAGACCAGAGAGAGACCAGGGGAAGACCAGAGAGACCAGAGACCAGAGAGAGACCAGAGAGACCAGAGAGAGAGAGAGATCAGAGAGAGACCAGAGAGAGACCGGAGGGAGACCAGAGAGAGACCAGAGAGAGACCAGACCAGAGAGAGAGAGAGAGACACCAGAGAGAGTCCAGAGAGAGACCAGGGGAAAGACTAGAGAGAGACCAGAGAGAGACCAGGGGAACCCCAGAGAGAGACCAGAGAGAGACCAGGGGAAAGACTAGAGAGAGACCAGAGACCAGAGAGAGACCAGAGGGAGACCAGAGAGACACCAGGGGAAAGACTAGAGAGAGACCAGAGAGAGACCAGAGGGAGACCAGAGGGAGACCAGAGAGAGACCAGGGGAAGACCAGAGAGACCAAAGACCAGGGAGAGACCAGAGCGAGACCAGAGAGAGACCAGAGAGAGACCGGAGGGAGACCAGAGAGACCACAGAGAGAGAGAGATACCAGAGAGAGACCAGAGAGAGACCAGAGACACCAGAGAGAGACCAGAGAGAAACCAGAGAGAGACTAGAGAGAGATCAACTCTCTAGTTCATATACCTGTTTATCTCCAGCTGGTTCTGGTACTGTGATGGTACTGTGATGGTACTCACCAGCTGGTTGTGGTTTTGATGGTACTCACCAGTTGGTTCTGGTAGGCGGTGACTGCAGTGAACACGGTCTCCACAAACACAAAGGTCCTGAACTCCTCAGATTTGAGGTTGAGCAGAGACGCCGTGTGCTCCTTCTTCTTTATGATGTGGACTCGAGGCTGGTACTTATGCATGGAGTTCAGGATGATCTGAGGTACCAGCAAGCACACACCAGCAAGCACACACACACACACACACACAGGTTAGTCCAGGTGCTGGTCTCTTTTACCCAAGTACAGAGTATTGTATCTATAAAAGTGGGCAGTGTGTGCTATGGGATGGAACCCGGAGCACCTGCAGATATCCCACTCAGACAGACCCTGGGTCCACTGGGATTTGAACCAGAACCTGCTGAGAAGTGACAGTGCTAACCACTCAGCCACTGTGTAGGGCGGGTGGAAGCAGAGTCAGAGCTGGATTCTGTGTTGGATCTCAGACTCAGTGGAGGGCCTGAGTCTGTCGTAGATCACATGTTCTCCAGATTTTCTTAGCAACCACGTAGCAACACATCTGTCCCTGTTACGCCCATATAAGGACGCAGGCTCCAGTGATGTCACACTGTCGTATCCCAGTGCAGTATATGTGCTACTATTTATTCTGCAAGGGTGCCCCATATCGCCCTACTTATTTATTTTAGTCACTGAACTTTGGTCCATAAATATAAAAAACAGTAAGGATATTAAAAACGTAATGTTCTAGAAACAGACATTATTATCAGCCAACTAGCTGATGATACAACATTATTCTTTAAAAATTAACGTCAAATCCCAAAAGCTTTTCATAAAACTGAGCAACTCTCCAAAGCATCAGGGCTTTGCTTAAACCTTGAAACTGTGAAATCTTGTCTCTTCATGAAACTGCTTTAAAGGACAACTCACCCTCAAATCCACTTTTTTCTGCTGATAAACGGTATAAATGAGTGTCCAATAGTGTTGTCTACATATCCTGGTCATAATCTTGTCACTTTGGTGCAAATTAGTTGAACTTTCTGCCTAAAACCGTCTGTGAGGCGCCATCTGCTGGCAACCTGTATCACTACATTTGAATTTTGAATCTGGCGCCAACACTGGCACAGAAGTTGGACCTGACGTCTGCAGCAAGACCTGACGTCAGCAGCCCCCCGCCCAGAGCAATGTAAACGGCCCAGTCTCGTTCACGCCCCCTTTAGTCCTCCAGGCTACGCCCATTTAGAGGAAGATTTGAACAGGAAATGTGAGTGACGTAAGCTCCGAGGAGCGGGGGTGAGAACCACTTTTTGTCTTTACAGATTTAAGATCTGTAAAGACAAAAAGATTTGTCAAACAGTTAATACAGAGAACAGACTTAAAGAATGTAAAACAAACTGAACATAATGCTCCAAAGAGACTTTGGGTCGTTTGTATTTAACAGAAAGTGTTGAGATGTGTTTACGCTCTTCATTCAGATGCTGCCCCGACCAAGTTTTCCAAAGTCATAAATCAAATTAATTTCAATGTTATGGCGAAATAAATCACATTATATAAAGAAAAGTCATATGGTCAAACAAACCAATGAAGGCGATTGGTCTGGATTGGTCTGGATTGATCTGGAGAGTCTGAACAGAACCTTAAGATAAACTGGTTAAAATCATCATCTCTGGTTCTGTTTACCTCACTCATGTTTAAACAGTCTGGTTCTGTTTACCTCACTCATGTTTAAACAGTCTGGTTCTGTTTACCTCACTCATGTTTAAACAGTCTGGTTCTGTTTACCTCACTCATGTTTAAACAGTCTGGTTCTGTTTACCTCTCATGTTTAAACAGTCTGGTTCTGTTTACCTCACTCATGTTTAAACAGTCTGGTTCTGTTTACCTCTCATGTTTAAACAGTCTGGTTCTGTTTAAACAGTCTGGTTCTGTTTACCTCACTCATGTTTAAACAGTCTGGTTCTGTTTACCTCACTCATGTTTAAACAGTCTGGTTCTGTTTACCTCACTCATGTTTAAAGTGAGGGGGCGTGAACGAGACTGGGCCGTTTATATTGCTCTGGGCGGGGGGCTGCTGACGTCAGGTCCAACTTGCAGACGTCAGGTCTTGCTGCTGCGCCAGTGTTGGCGCCAGATTCAAAATTCAAATGTAGTAATACAGGTCGCCAGCAGATGGCGCCTCACAGACGGTTTTAGGCAGAAAGTCTAACTTTCAACTAATTTGCACCAAAGTGACAAGATTATGACCAGGATATGTAGACAACACTATTGGACACTCATTTATACCGTTTATCAGCAAAAAAAAGTGGATTTGAGGGTGAGTTGTCCTTTAAACAGTCTGGTTCTGTTTACCTCACTCATGTTTAAACAGTCGGTGGTTCTGAACCTACTGCTGTGACTTGGATATCGACGAGCTTCCTGTGTCGTTATCAGAGTTTCACAAACTAATTTTACTTTACTGGAAAATGCTCTATCTGCCGTTTGGCGCGACGCATTATGGGAGATAGCGCAAAGCATCATGGGAGATAATCCACTGCGCAGAACCAGGAGGACCAGACGATGCTGAGCACAAGTTATTCATGAGAATAGGGCGCCATCTTGGATCACCGGGGCTTGATGCTAACGACACTGATGCTAACGACACTGATGCTAATGACACTGATGCTAATGACACTGATGCTAATGACACTGATGCTAACGACACTGATGCTAACATCACTGATGCTAACATCACTGATGCTACTAACGACACTGATGCTACCGACACTGATGCTAACATCACTGATGCTAACAACACTGATGCTAACGACACTGATGCTAACATCACTGATGCTAACAACACTGATGCTAACGACACTGATGCTAACATCACTGATGCTAACGACACTGATGCTAACGACACTGATGCTAACTGTTGTGTTGTGTGTCTGTGGTGTGTAAAGTGTGTGTCCTGAGAGCGTCTCCTGATTTCCCAGTTAAATGCAGAGGCGCGGTGACAGCAGACAGGCAAATCACATCTACGCCCTTTAACACAGCTGCTCATACTAAAGGACCATGCTAACCTGCTAGCTCACTTCCTATAGGGAAGTGCTCATGGTGAAGTTTGGCTCCTATTGACTTCTATAACGTAAAATCCTCTCTCTCTGGTCTCTCTCTCTGGTCTCTCTCTGGTCTCTCTCTGGTCTCTCTCTGGTCTCTCTCTGGTCTCTTTCTGGTCTCTTTCTGGTCTCTTTCTGGTCTCTCTCTCTGGTCTCTCTCTGGTCTCTCTCTGGTCTCTCTCTGGTCTCTCTCTGGTCTCTCTCTGGTCTCTTTCTGGTCTCTCTCTGTGGTGTGTGTGTGTGTGTCTCTCTCTGTGTGTGTGTGTGTGTGTGTGTGTGTGTGTGTCTCTGTGTGTGTGTGCGTGTGTCTCTGTGTGTGTGGGTGTCACTGTGTGTGTGTGTGTGTCTTACGTGTCCGTGTTGGTCCAGTTCGTTGTTTGTGAGTTTGACTTTCTCGAAGGAAACCATCTGCTTCAGGAGCTGCTCTCCAGAGAACGGGGAGTCAGGATGGACATACAACCTGCACACATGGTATTAGTGAGACCAGATGGACATACAACCTGCACACATGGTATTACTGAGACCAGGGACCAGAGACCAGAGAGACCAGAGAGACCAGGGACCAGTGCGAGACCAGGGAGAGACCAGAGAGAGACTAGAGAGAGACCAGGGAGAGACCAGAGAGAGACTAGAGCAGGGGTGGCCAACCAGTCAGAGACTAAGAGCCAATTTTTTTTACTGTGTTACAGCAAAGAGCCACATCATACAAATGTGCACTACATAAACATCACCCCAACCCTTACACGCACACGCGCACGTACGAGCAGACACGCGCACACACATGCAATCTGTCTGAGCAGAGAGAGGTGTGCTCTGCTCAGACAGATTTATTGTAAATGTCATCAACATGATAATGACAGAAATTGACTCGTACAGTACTAAAGGGCTGGACTCGACTCTCCCTGGTTTGTGGGCGCTTCCACCCCGCTCGCTTCAACCGCTCCCCGGTACTTTTTATTAATGGTTTGGCCCTGGTTCTAACCGGGCGAGTCGATACCAGAACAATTTCACGTCAGCGAACATCAATTATGATTCCGAAATGAATGCTTTCAATCTCTAACCAAGAAAAAAAAATCAAGTTTCAACCCAGTGTTCAGCAGAAACACAACTGTCTTTAGTAAAAGATATAGATGTGACACATAACACCAACACCACTTTAGCTGATTTAGAACCACAGACACATGTTCAGTATAAGACCAGATACTTTTGCATTTGATTGAAGACAGACACTCACCAGGCAGAGTTGGCTTATCTCCTGGTGTAATGCTAGTTGTTGTTAGCTGGTTTTAGCATGTTAGCCGGTGTTAGCCGATGTCCGTAAATGTAATCCATTTGGTCAAACCACCTCCAGACTTTTCGGGTCTGCCTCTACTTCTGCTGCTGCGATCTTTCATTTCACGGTTGTCACTTTTAAGCTTTTTAACTTTTCTCTGCATTGTCATGTTTGTGGGAATCATTCTGCTCCGTCCTTAGTGCTAGCTCCACAAACACCTTCTGGTTTCTGGTGGAACCAGCGAGATCAGGCTGGTGTCCTCTCCTCAAACTGAGGAAGGTGTTGCCCTCATCCAGCGACCAAGGAATTGTTTTCCGTACGGACGTCATGGTTCGAGGCAACGTGTTGTTTGTTATGATATTTGCTACAGCTGAGGTAGCAGCTGCAGAGTGATTGACAGCGCATCTGACCAATCAGAATTGACGTTCGCCGACGTCAGATTGTTTTGGTGGCCTGGCTAGTGGAGTGAAGTCGGCCTTTACTATTGGTCAGAACTACATATGGAATGAAAGGCAGCGCCACCACCGAGGCGTTTTTGACGCTTGTCGAGTGAAAGCCCGAGAGCCGCACGGAACCAGCCAAAGAGCCGCATGCGGCTCACGAGCCGCGGGTTGGCCACCCCTGGACTAGAGAGAGGCCAGAGAGAGACCAAAGAGAGACCAGAGAGAGATCAGAGAGAGACCATAGAGAGACTAGAGAGAGACCAGAGAGAGACCAGAGAGAGACCAGAGAGACCAGATAGAGACCAGAGAGAGACCAGAGAGAGACCAGAGAGAGACCAGAGAGAGACCAGACAGAGACCAGACAGAGACCAGACAGAGACCAGACAGAGACCAGACAGAGACCAGACAGAGACCAGAGAGAGACCAGAGAGAGACCAGAGAGAGACCAGAGAGAGACCAGACAGAGACCAGACAGAAACCAGAGAGATAGATTAGAGCAGTGTTTTTCAACCACTGTGCCGCACCACACTAGTGTGCCGTATGATATTGTCTGGTGTGCAGTGAGAAATTCGTCTACTTTGTCTAAAAATAACTGCATTCGCTGTTGACGAGCGGTCGGTGACTTGTTTTGAACTGTGGAGTAACCATGTAATACTTTTTCAAATCAGTAGATGGTAGCAGATAGCTAAGTACTTTGAAACTGAAAAATTGGATGCGACCACTGGCTGTAACAGGTCAGCATTGTGGCGAGAAAGGTAAAATTGGATGCGACCAACAAATGTGGGAGGGAGCGAGACAAGAGCTTTGTGGCGAGTGAGAAGTGAAAGTGATAGAGACGTTTTTGAAAATGAATTATGCCGTTTCTGAACAGGATTAACATCCTCCGCTCTGCCCCGGGGCAGCTGTGGCTGCGTTGTAGTGGTTTAACTATGAAATGTACAATTTTTGTACAACAGCTCTCGCGAACGCACTTCTGAACTGGGTACCGAGCGCAGACCATAGTCAAGTGGACAGAACCACAGACATGCGGACCGGACAGAACCATGGACTCGCGTTCAGGACCTCCCGTGTCCCTCATCCAAAACTCCTGAATTTAAAGCTCGGATACCTAAATTTTTCCCATGCACTAACAATGCATGTTCTTTGTGTGAGTTATTATTTGACTATTTGGGCAGAGAGTGGATTTTCTTAGTTTTTTTCCACACAGTTAGTGCCACTTTATTCCCAAACTCTTGTTAATTGTATCGAGAAATATTAAATAAAGCTTAATGTCAAGGCCTGGACTTAAGCATTTTGATTAGAATAACTGTATATTGTGAATATAGGCTACAGAGTATACTGTATACATTATAAGATAAGATAAGATATACTTTATATATCACACAGAGTATGTACAGTATATATTTTTTTACATTAGTACTGTATACATTTTTTACATTTTCTCCTGGAGGTGTGCCGCAAGATTTTTTCAGTGAAAAAAGTGTGCCTTGGCTCAAAAAAGGTTGAAAAACACTGGATTAGAGACAATATTATCAATGGACTGTTTTACTCGGATGAACTACTGCAGCAATAAGCCACGTTGATATCAGCGCCCAGACGTTAATCTATTTGACATAGCAACAGTAACTTGGGGCAGGGCTTAGCCAAAGGTCAATTGTCAGATTTTTAACTGTGCACAATTTGAGAATGGGCTGTATATTATGTTAACACAAAATGCTTCCTTAACATTTTTGGAATTTGTTTTTTTTTTCAGGCTTTTAGGTGAGAAAAGGTCTTGGGGTCATTGTTACAATGAACTCGCATCCATCTCATTCTCATGAACGCATATATACTGTGCCTTAAAGCTCTTCAAATAGAACATGTCTGAAATACCTTGATTACCTTTTGTTACCATGGTTTCCGTACACTTATGCCAGTTTCAAAACCAGGAAGGTGGGACGGTTTAATTAATTTTTCCTGCTAACAATGTGAACAACAATAAAGAAAAGCAATTGCTAGGTTTCAGGTTCTAGAATTTGATGTCACAGGACCCAGTTGGGGGGCAAGAGCCAGTTTTTCAAGTGATATCTAAAAAGTAAATGTATGAACTACAAAAAATATTATCATTAATCCCTGGGTCCATGATCTCTATGTAAAAGACAAAATTATTTTGTTTTAGAGGAAATTTATCTCCATATATTATAGGTCTTTAGAATGCTGTGATGTCACATGCAACCCAGCATATAAATCTTATTCATAAGAAAAATAAACGGCACCAAAACTTAACTCATATCAAAGTGCCGTCCTGTTCTCTGAAGTAGAGTTAAGTTTTGGTGCTGTATATTTCTTTTATTGTTTTTCAGCCATGGTCCTAACTATGTGGACCATGACTGCTTGCTGCCTGGTCTTGAAACTGGCACAGGTGTATAGAAACCATGTCAATGAAGGTAATCAAGGTATTTTAGAAATGATCTATTAGGGATGGTCTGCTTAGATTTTGGTTAAGGTTAGGGTCACACAGCCCATCATTCTGTTCTTTATATTCCAGGACATTGAATCCAGAGAGGCTGAGGCAGACATTGGCGAGAAGACCATGGGCATCTACACAGTCCAAGCAGAAGTTGATGTTCCAGGTGATGGACGCTTTGCTGATGTCGGAGTTGTGCTGGAAGGTGTGAAAGTTCTCCATAATCTACAGAGTGTCAGCCATGCTTGTGTGATGCTTTATGGACTGATCTACGCACTCAACTTGAGCTATCCAAAAAGCCTGAAGAGTACATTTGAGGTATACCAGAAAATCTTGATGGACCTTGACTCAAGCAAGCTTTCACCAAAAGTGCAGGCACTGAAACTCAAATTGCTCCACTGATTTGACGGGCAATAATGAACTTACACAGCCCATACCTGAGTTTCCCTTTATTTTTTAAATCTTGTGTTTAAATGATCCCTTAGTTCTTGAAGGGTGCTTCAGGGAAATGCCTGTTTTTTTTTTATTTTTTTTTTTGGTGTCCAAGCATTTAACAGGGGAGGTATGTATTGTGATGTATGAGCATGGCTGTTTAGGTGGGTTCACAGATGGGTAGTTTCTAGTGCTAGCAGGCATTGTTGTAGTTGCTAAGCTCAAACCATATTTATCTTGAATTGTTACCAGATTCAATGGGAGCTAGTTGTGTGTTAAAGACATTTTGTTCCAAAAAGGTGCTTCAATTCCTGTGAAAGCCTGTCATCACTCAAACATTTTTTTTTTCTAATATTGAAGGGAAACTATGGCCAAAATGCCTTCAAAACAAGACCCTAGTTTTGGCAATATTTTCTCTTAAACATTACCCTATGGCGTCAAATTGGGGTCTGAGTAAATGTAAACGTAAAATTAATATTGTAAACGTAGGTGGTAAGTATTGTAAACATAAAGAGAACTGTAAATGCACATAAACAAAAAAAATTATTGTAAATATAAAACTTACATTTACAATTCTCCTTTTCTTTCTTCACTTGAGCTACGGTTATGTTTTCATCCCAAAAGATCTTTAATAGTCTTCATTTTATTTTCCTTGACATTGATTATTTGACTTTAAGGTACATATTCCTGATCGAACCTTTATGTTCAACATTATTAAGAAAATATCTAGAAAATAAATATTTTGAATTTTGACATGCAAAAATAGTGATCCATACACTCAATCATCATTTCCCCCTGCATGTAACGTCTGGGT